CAATGATACAAGGGGCCTTAAAGCTCTGATACAAGTGTACTGTGTTGTTATTGATACTAGGGATCTTATACCTATGACACAAGTGTACTGTATTGTCATTGATACTAGGGACCTTAAAGTGGCTATTACCTTAGATTTCAACATCCTGAAATGGAAGATTCGGCTTATGAATAATAAAATATATCCATAATAAAGTGATACATGCACCTGTAACGTCAAATTTGTTGTTTTTGTACATATTTTTGGCATCGGAACATTGTTTATCTTGCCTATTGTTTATAAATATGTTCACGCTCGGTTTATTACGAAGAAAGCCGAGTGGGTCACATGGCTTGTCGCGTGATGAAGTCATTTAAATCCGCCGCAATATGTATGACACTTGCTTTAATCCCTTTCTGCTAATTCTTGTTTGCAGTAAATGTTTCTATAGTGTTATATAATTTTTAACAATCAATCTTAGTAATTTGTTTTGTTTTGGCTTTGTCATGCGAGAATTATGTATGTCAATCATGGAAGCTAAACTAGTGGGGCCTCAAAGGGGGTAAATACAATTGGAAAAGAAAAAAAACTCATTGTGCAGAAATGCACAGGAATTGTTACTTTGTCTGTACACATTAATAGATATTGCACTGTTTATTATGAAGGCTATGTTTATTATCATGGTTGCCCACCTGGCAGTCAACAACAAACACATGTTGTCGATAGTAAATTCAAGTGAATAACACGACTATTTTCATTCACACTTATCAGATAACACTTTTGGTAGTGTTGTTTATAACATATTCACGCATCAAACACTGGATATAAGATTATAATCAATGACAGGTGGATACGTTATAATTATAGTGCTAACGTTAAGCTAACCAGTTGAGCAGCAGCTTCGCAAATTCCGAATCCGTATTCAGTCCAATATCCTCCTTCATCTTTCGCCATCTACTGATCTCCTGTCTAATTTAAATTCTTGGCTGTCCTCTTTTCTGGTCTGACTCCTTCCTCTTACGCTTTCAGGCCCTTTCTGTAAGGTAACTTTTAGGTCCTCGTCGCTTTTTCGTATTTGTGTCTGCCATATTGCTTCTTTCTAGGCTTATACACATCGGCAGCATCAGGGTTACGAGCGGTAATGTATGAATTAGATCAACACTGCACTGTTTACATTCTTTATTTTTTGAGATGTCAGTAAAAATGGTTGCAGTGACTTTCAATTTTAGTAATTAATAGAAAGTCTAATTTTTGTAACATACTATTGGAAAATAGAACTTTTTATATTGTTTTCTCATAGTGTTTTTTAACATTATAGTCGCTTTAAACCTATGGTACAAGTGTACAATGTTGTCAATGTAAGGATGGGCCTTTTACGTTTTACCTGATACCATTGTACTTTGTTGTCAATAACACAAGGGGCCTTAAACCTCTGATACAAGTGTACATTGTTGTCAATGATACGAGGGGCCTTAAATCTCTGATACAAGTGTACTGTGTTGCGATTGGTACTAGGGACCTTAAACCTCTGATACAAGTGTAGTTTGTTGTCAATGATACGAGGGGCCTTCAACCTCTGATACAAGTGAACTGTGTTACCATTGGCACTAGCTACCTTAAACCTCTGATACAAGTGTAGTTTGTTGTCAATGATACGAGGGGCCTTAAACCTCTGATACAAGTGAACTGTGTTGCGATTGACACTAGGGACCTTAAACCTCTGATACAAGTGTAGTTTGTTGTCAATGATACGAGGGGCTTTAAACCTCTGATACAAGTGAACTGTGTTGCGATTGGTACTAGGGACCTTAAACCTCTGATACAAGGGTACTTTGTTGTCAATGATACGAGGGGCCTTAAACCTCTGATACAAGTGAACTGTGTTGCAATTGGTACTAGGGACCTTAAACCTCTGATACAAGTGTACTTTGTTGTCAATGATACGAGGGGCCTTAAATCTCTGATTTAAATTTATTTTGTTGTCAGTGATACTGGAATATGGCGTGTCCCTGGTTTTTCAGACCTTATAAAATTGAATACCGTGAAGGGAAGGTTGAACAACACTTACTATAGTATTGAACAAAGTATTGATACTATTGTATTGAAGTATTCGAAGTCAAGTATACAACGCCCTCTGTGATTGGTCGGGGGCGGAGTTTAGACAACCTGAATAGTTGATCTGACACCCAATTTGTTCTGGTAGGCGGAGTTAATGTACACTATCAGTTACATAACAATTACTAAGTAATCGCTGGAAAAATGTCCGACGACGGCAACAGTACGCAAAATTTTCTTCGACGAAATTATGTCCGATACGAACGATATGGGGAATCCTGTTTTTGTACAAGGCGATGAGGTTGTGATGGATAATTGTGGATTCCGTGTTGCCAAACTAGAGATATTAAACCTATATGATACCAAATCCACTGTATTGTCAGTGACACGAGGGACCTTAAAAGTGTAATGTGAGTCTACTATATTGTCAATGTTAGAAGGGACCTTAAAACTCCAATACTAGTATATTTTGTTGTAAATTAGTTGTTAGTGCAATGTATATGTGTTTTTGTCAATATTGAGGGAATACACACTTTAGTTAACTCTTCAAACAAGATTTTCATGTCTGTTTACATTTTGATGAGACCTATTAATAGCATTGAGTTGTTTGTATGACATTGTGACCTCTCATAAATTTCAACAATATTTTTTATACTTTTCGGAGTTATTGCTCTTTGTTGTCAAAATTTTTTAGAGTTATCGCCCCTGATTGATAATCCAATTTATTACAGATATCAGGTTTTTTTTTAAATATATTGACTTTTTTTGGTATTGTGTTTAAATAGTTCATTTTGTTTTCTTCACCCTAAACTTCACAGGATATAAAGCTATATGTACGCATCTACATAAATATGGAAAACAATAAGATATAAATTAAGCTATATATATGTATTTATCTTTATGAATTTGAAAAAATAAGTAAGCATTTAAGTCGAAGCGGTTCATACATCAAGAAGGATTAGAAAACGAGTGATTATGATAGTCCATTTTACATCATGGTACTTTGATAAAATGTGGAATTGTGGTTATGGTGCCCTTTGATGATTGGCATTAAGATTGTGCAAAGATGGGGAGGTCAGAGTTCAGATGATGATTGAGTGTTTGTATTGACTACAACCTTTGGAATTCCTGTCTATAGGTATAAGGTAATGCAGTTTAACAATGTCATCCCCTCAGTGATCCTGATTAACAAAAATAGATCTGTGTATAGTTTTCTAGTCTATAGACATGCTATTCCTGTTTATAGTGTTGTTGGTTACAAATAAGTTCTTTTTTTTTCTGTTTAAATTTGTTTATCAGTTATCTGGCTCTGTATGCATCAAATTGTGTTTCTTCATCAATTATGCATATGGCTGTTGGCCGGGTTGCACATAGTGCAAATCCGGGTTATAGTATGGTGAATGTCGCGTGGGCGGGCGGGGAAAAGGGGTACCAGTGTTGTAGAATCAACTCCTCCTAGAGTTTTTGACATAGAAGCTTGAAACTTTGTAGGATGTTTATGTATATGTTGAAGATGTACACCTCCCATTATGGATTCATTCGGGACATTTTTCTGGACATCTTTGCATCAAAAATAAAAAATGGCTGCAACTTCTTTCTTCAAATGCCCTTCTTCTGCACCAGTTCTTAAAATACAACCACATTTTCTCTCTTATAACAAATATTCTACATACTCAACAAATGAAACACCCTTAACTGCCTTATAAATACCATATAACATTGCACTCATCTGGCAACCCAGCCAATTGTGGTTTTGCCCAATTTTTCTTGTACTTTCATTAATATTCAAATTTATAACACAGTCTCTAAGTCAGGTTTAAAATGATTCAGTTTGACTTCATTTTGAGCTTACTAATCTTGGATAAATTATTCCCAGATGGTATCTGCTCTTTTATGATTCCAAATTTCATAACCAGAGTTCTGCTCAGAGTTCTGCAGAGATCAGCTGTGGTTTTTATACACAGTCGGCTGTTTGGGTGTTGTATTGGGGGATGTGGTCTTTATATACATGCTGTTTGGGTGTTGTATTGGGGCCTGTGGGCTGTATATACAGTCTGCTGTTTTGGTGTTGTGTTGGGGGCTGTGGTCTGTATACAGAGTCTCCTGTTCGCGTGTGGTATCAAGACCAGTAGTCAAACCAGAAACTTTATATTGCTTTATGTAGTACTTCTTTATATAGTTAGAGCCAACCAAACCCCCTGGAGTTTCATATTATTGAATATTTGTTCCAGAAGTTGGTAGCCTTGAGTTTGTATCAGATCAATATAGGCTAAACCCAATATCTTCATCCATGCAAGATCAGAATTATAAATTGTTTTAATTAGATTGTCATTTCAAGGCTCAGAATTCAAAATTCCTCAACTGGTTCAATTCTCATCATCAATTGATGATACTACAATTTACCAAAAAATATATCAATTTTGCAAAGAGAAAGAAGACAAATATGACTATATATTCACTGTATGATAAAATGAAGAGAGATGATTAGTCAAGGTCAGATTTTATATAAATTTTTCATGACACAAAGTTTGAGATACCCAAACAGGAAGTCAACTGAACAAGGGCAAGGTCATTAATTCAGAGTCAAGTTGAACTTTTTCTTATCTTGTAGTGATAATTTGTAATGGTATTTGAAATTTGTATGAATCAAGTTTTAAGCAGCTGATTAAAGGTCAAGGTTTTAAATCAAAATTCAAGGTAATATTATTTTTTCATTTTAAACGTTGTACAAATTTGGGAAAATACACTGGTCAAATCTAAAGGGAAATCAACTGATCAGTGCTCAAGGTCATTAGATCAAAGGTTAAGGTGACTGACATGACAGATTGTAACCCAGAATTCAAGGTCATAGTGTGGTTTCTTGATGATTAGGGATGTTGGACAATTCTTGCTGTCCATATCGGTGTACATTTGGAATTTCTTTCTTTCTACAGTTTGTCTAATTTTGTATCTTTATTCCATTTCAGATAACCACTTTGGTAAACCACAAGGATCGTCCAAAGGTCACAGATAAGACAGCCAAGGCATTGATCAGAGTTGGTCAAGCTGTTAACTTGGCTGTTGACCGCTTCGTAATTGTTGGTCAGTCGATTGCTGATGACAATGACGACATCAGACAAGACATGTGTGAAGCCTGTGAAGAAGCTCGATCAGCAGGTAACCTTGACCCTTGACCTTTGTCCTCTTTCTACCTTTGAACGTTTTACTTGTGTGTAGCATGAAAAAGAATATAAAGTTGATTTTCTTCAAACAGCAGGAGATTGACATTCGAGATGTTCAGGGAGAGTTTGGTTTGGTGAAATTAACTATAGTGGACTTGGTAGGCTCTGGACCTAATTGCTCTGGGTGTGTTTTGTATACTACATATCAGCAACATGTTTATATTATATACATTGTTACAGATCTTTGTGCTTGTAAAACACAATATGTTACAAAGACTCGCAGCAATAACAGAAATTAAAGAATTGTTATTTCATTCAATACACCATATTATGTAGGCTTCACACGAGAATTGTGGATAAGCTACTGTCACTCTGATGCTGTGATGCCGAGGCTTCACACGAGAATTGTGGATAAGCTACTCTCGCTTTCTGTAATGCAGAGGCTTTACATGAGAATTGTGGATAAGCTACTGTCACTTTCTGTAATATCGAGGCTTCACACGAGAATTGTGGATAAGCTACTGTCATTTTCTGTAATATTGAGGCTTCACACGAGAATTGTGGATAAGCTACAATTACTTTCTGTAATGCCGAGGCTTCACACGAAAATTGTGGATAAGCTACAGTCACTTTCTGTAATGCCGAGGCTTCACACGAAAATTGTGGATAAGCTACTGTCACTTTCTGTAACACCGTGTTATCATTACCAAATAAAACAGTGATTTGTGTTTGCTTCCCTTTACTTGGTGAAATTCACAGTTAATTGTTTGTTTATGACCTGCTTTGTTTACAGGGATCAGTATTCAGAAACTGACGTCAATCGACCGCACGTCAAACTACTCAACTCCTAAAACCTTCACCGAAAAGACTGCAATGGTGAGGGCAGCACGTCAGCTACTGTCGGCCGTCACACGTGTCTTACTCCTCGCCGACAAGGTCATTGTCAAGCAACTGCTTCTCTCGAAGGAAAAGGTCAGTTACAAAGGTCAAGGTTATTATGTTAAGAAAAAGTAAAGGTCAAGGTCATTGTCATAAATTTGATCTGCTCAAAAGCAAAAATTCTAGATGTTTGACAAACAGATTTTCAGTCAAGAAGAAGGTCATTAATAGAATCAAAGGTCTAGGCCTGTAATAAAAAAAATAAACCCAGAAGTCTCTTTCTACATCTGTCTCAAAGGACCATCTTGATTTGTTCCAGGTACTCTCAAGTCTGAATGAGCTGGACACTGTGACCACCTTTACAGACTTTGTCAACTGTTTCAGTCGCTTTGGTAATGAAATGGTGGAATTAGCTCACTTGACTGGAGATAGACAAAATGTGAGTTATCTCCCCTAGAACTTATTACATACAAACATTGTAGGAAATTTCCTGTACATATTAGATATTTCACGGATGAATCCCCGGTCATGCAGATCATGGATGAATCCTCTGTCATGCAGACATTTAATGTAAGAAATATGATGCCAATGATAATTTTAAATGAATCAAGCCATAATAGATTTTTAAACCCAATCAGTCTGTCTGATTCTAGGAACTTAGTAGAATATTCTCAGATAGTAGGATCAGCCTACAGGAAGACTTGTTTACAGCTTGTTATGTGATTACAGTACTGAAGATATGTAACTGGCAGTAAGATCCATACTGTTGAATTGTAAACATTTACATACAAATTTTTGCAGGACCTGAAGGGGGAGAAGCAGCGTGCACAGATGGGGGCTGCCCGAGCGATCCTAGAAAAGTCAACCATGATGCTGCTACCTTCCTGTAAAGTAAGATTTGTATGAAAATAATGACATCTTCCTGACCTCATTCTCAAACTTTATCCCCACATCTGTCCATTCATTGCTCTATCCATTCACTCATTCACTCCCCAACCATTCACCCTCTTTACCTGCCCTGTTATCCCTTTACCTGTCCATTTATCCCATCATCTGTTAATTCATCACCTCAACAATCCATACATCCCTTTACCAATCTATTCATCCCCTAACCAATCCATTCATCCCCTCACCAATCTATTCATCCCCTCATCAATCCATAAATCCCTTCACCAATCTATTCATCCCCTCACCAATCTATTCATCCCCTCACCAATCTATTCATCTCTTTACCCCTCTTCATTATCTCACCCCACTCCCCTTCTAACCACAAACACTGACTGATAAACTTTCCTGTAATTGTAGACGTGTCTGCGACATCCTGACTGTGATACAGCGCGAGTCAATAGAGAAGGTGTGTTCGTCCAGATGCGACGCGCCCTGGATATGATCCATTATATAGTAACAGAGGGTGGTACCAGTCAGGTGAATGGTCACTCCTGCACTCTCAATAACGGTGATTCGGGGATATGTCTGGATAATGCCCATCACTCAACCAGTCGTTCCATCAGGGAGTTTGAGGTATATTCTTTCATTCATCAATTTTTCTTCTAAATATAATCTCTTTGTTTTTGTTTGATTTTTTATTATTGTTTCAATATTTTGAGAATTTTAATTGTGAAAGTTTTAAGTGATAAGCAATGTTTTACAAACATTTTTTTAAAATGGTGTTTGACCACTCTAGATAATTAGCTTACATTTTTATAGATAAAGGGTCTAGTTAATCAAGATCTATTAGAAGATTTCATACTCCACTGATCTACAAATGCAACATGCGGGCTTTAAATAATGTCCACCCAATCACTTGAGTAATAGTACTGAAATTTACATTATTTTTTATTATCATGACTTGTCGTGTTTCATTTGGAAATTTTTTCTGTCTAAATATATAACTCTTACAATATATAACATCTTTTATTCCTTGTTTAAGAGTAAATGGCATATTGTGAAACACTGTAAAATTGTTTCATAGGACCTAGTTGAGATGACCCGTGTGACTGGGCTGACCAGCTCCAGTTCTCCGGACAAACTGACCAGTGCCTTGGACGTTGTAGTTGAGACAGCTCAGGACTTTACGGACTCAGCCTACACACCACACGAGAACCGGGAGAAGATCATTGACACTCTGAACTGTATCAGAGCTGAATTACAGATCCTTATCAATGCTGGCCTGAACCAGGTAGGACAAACAAAATAGATCCTTATCAATGCTGGCCTGAACCAGGTAGGACAAACAAAATAGATCCTTATCAATGCTGGTCTGAACCAGGTAGGACAAACGAAATAGATCCTTATTAATGCTGGTCTGCCAGATAGGACAAACAAAATAGATCCTTATCAATGCTGGCCTAAACCAGGTAGGACTAAAAACATGAATCCTTATCAATGCAGGTCTGAACCAGATAGGACTATCAAAATAGATCCTTATCAATGCTAGTCTGAACCAGGTAGGACTAAAAACATGAATCCTTATCAATGCTGGTCTGCCAGATAGGACAAACAAAATAGATCCTTATCAATGCTGGTCTGAACCAGGTGGGACAAACAAATTAGATCCTTATCAATGCTGGTCTGAACCAGGTAGGACTTAATAAATAAATCTGTATCAATGCTGGTCTGAACCAGATAGCACAAACAAAATAGATCCTTATCTATGCTGGTCTGAACCAGGTAGGACAAACAAATAAATCCTTATCAATGCTGGTCTGAACCAGGTAGGATTAAAAATAGATCCTTATCAATGCTAGTCTGAACCAGGTAGGACTAAAAATAGATCCTTATCAATGCTGGTCTCATTCAGGTAGGACTAACAAAATAGATCCTTATCAATGCTGGCCTGAACCAGGTAGGACTAAAAATAAATCCTTATCAATGCTGGTCTGAACCAGGTAGGACTAACAAAATAGATCCTTATCAATGCTGGTCTGAACCAGGTAGGACTAAAAATAAATCCTTATCAATGCTGGTCTGAACCAGGTAGGACTAACAAAATAGATCCTTATCAATGCTGGTCTGAACCAGGTAGGACTAAAAATAAATCCTTAGCAATGCTGGTCTGAACCAGGTAGGACTAACAAAATAGATCCTTATCAATGCTGGTCTGAACCAGGTAGGACTAAAAATAAATCCTTATCAATGCTGGTCTGAACCAGGTAGGACTAAAAATAAATCCTTATCAATGCTGGTCTGAACCAGGTAGGACTGACAATATAAATCCTTATCAATGCTAGTCTGAACCATGTAAGACTTAACAAACTACTGATGGTTCACATTTAGAGCTTTAGTGCACTGTTAGATAGATATGGTACTTTTTAATTGATGTGATTTCAACCTATAACCAAAGTTTTTTGTGTTTTGTAGAGAGACCTGAATGTAAGCCTGGACATGGAGACAGCAATCCTGAAGACAGTGTCAGTATCCAAGTGTCTGAATAAACTGGTAAGTACCGTCAGCTAACTGGTCAGTATCACGAACCAACTGGTCAGTATCATAGCCCAACTGGTCAGTATCATAGACCACCTGGTCAGTATGGTAGGCCAACTGGTCAGTATCGTAGACCAACTGGTCAGTATCGTAGGCCAACTGGTCAGTATCGTAGACCAACTGGTCAGTATCGTAGACCAACTGGTCAGTATCGTAGGCCAACTGGTCAGTATCGTAGACCAACTGGTCAGTATCGTAGACCAACTGGTCAGTATCATAGACCAACTAGTCAGTATCATAGACCAACTGGTCAGTATCATAGACCAACTAGTCAGTATCATAGACCAACTAGTCAGTATCATAGACCAACTGGTCAGTATCATAGACCAACTAGTCAGTATCATAGACCAACTGGTCAGTATCATAGACCAACTGGTCAGTATCATAGACTAACTAGTCAGTATCATAGACCAACTGGTCAGTATTATAACCAACTGGTCAGTATCATAGACCAACTGGTCAGTATCATATACCAACTGGTCAGTATTATAGACCAACTAGTCAGTGTCATAGACCAATTGGTCAGTATCATAGACCAACTGGTCAGTATCATAGACCAACTGGTCAGTATTATAGACCAACTGGTCAGTGTCATAGACCAACTGGTCAGTATCATAGACCAACTGGTCAGTGTCATAGACCAACTGGTCAGTATCATAGACCAACTGATCATAATCATATACCAACTGGTCAGTATCATAAACCAGCTGGTCAGTTTCATAGACCAACTAGTCAGTATCATAAACCAAATGGTCAGTTTCATAGACCAGCTGGTCTGTATAATATTTTCACTATTTTACAGGGTATTAACGTAATAACGAAGGTTTGATTGGTGAAATATTAAGATTTGTAATATTATCAGTAGTATGATAAAATTGTAATTAAACACTGTTGTCATATTAGTCATATTGATTACATCATTAGTCAACATTCCTTTGTCTTATTTCTAAGGATATTTTGACAATGACGCTTATGCAAATTATGAGTGAAATGGTACTGAAAACTGGTATTTGTAAGCATAAATTCTTATTTTTATCACGATCAATCGGAAATCATTTATTTCAAACTAGACTTTGATTTTATGGTTGTTACTTATAAAAATAAGATATCAGCTTACATCCAAATTGTCAACTTTTATGATTTCTTAAGATTTTGTTATTGCTTTTAAGATAAAAATTGCAAATAATTTTGACTCCTCAAAACAAACAGCTAAATGCATGGTCACGAGTCGGTAACAAATCGGAATATTTTCACACCTTGTCTCCTATAGCATTGTTACAGCTTTTAATCTAAGTTCATTGGAGTTATCTCCCTTAGATAGCCTCTTCATGTAGGAAAGAAATTTACCATAATGTTTTATAAAGGAAGATTAAATGAAGTTTATTGGTGAATTTTTTTTTTGTTGTTTTTTGGTTGGGGGTAGGGGGTGGGGGTTGGGGTTGGGGGTTGGGGTAGGGGGTTGGGGTAGGGGGTTGGGGGTGGGGGTTGGGGGTAGGGGGTTGGGGTAGGGGGTTGGGGGTGGGGGTTGGGGGTAGGGGGTTGGGGTAGGGGGTTGGGGTAGGGGGTTGGGGTTGGGGGTTGGGGGTTGGGGGTATGGGGTGGGGGGTTGGGGTAGGGGGTTGGGGTAGGGGGTTGGGGGTGGGGGTTGGGGTTGGGGGTAGGGGGTTGGGGTAGGGGGTTGGGGGTGGGGGTTGGGGGTTGGGGGTATGGGGTGGGGGGTTGGGGTAGGGGGTTGGGGTAGGGGGTTGGGGGTGGGGGTTGGGGGTTGGGGTTGGGGGTAGGGGGTTGGAGTAGGGGGTTGGGGGTGGGGGTTTGGGGTTGGGGGTAGGGGGTTGGGGTAGGGGGTTGGGGGTGGGGTTGGGGGGTGGGGGGTACTATTTCCACAATTCGTTCCTTAGTTTTCTTTCAGTATTAATTTTTATAATAATAAGTAATTCTTTTTGTTTCTCTTATTAATCAAGTTTAATCAGAGATCAGATGTTTGGCTTGTCAAACCTGATTTTTCCTACGATTTGATCCTTATAACATCAGAACTATCTTATATATTGAGATTGATAATAGGCCAAAAAAATGATTGAAGAAATAGTATGTTATCGATGATTAATGATGTTTTACCTTAAAGTGTACCCTGAGAGGTCAGCTATGTTGACCTTGAAAAATAGTTCTGCACATAAAATACACTATGCCGAAAACGCGAATGCCGTGGAATGTTCCGTTACTGAGAAATTGCGACTTTTCTGAAAAACACACCTTTGGCTGAGAGGCGTTGACCTCGTTTTCGGGCACCCAAACCTGTGACGTCATAAGTTCAACGCTTTTGTTGATGCAGCCGTATTGTCTTTACTGTGCTACATGTGATTGTGATCTATTTTGGGATTTTCCGTGGTAATTTCTTTGTTTATTTACGTGAAAGTACTTCACATCTTCGCAATATCTAAGGTAGTGAACGAGGGGTCGGTGAATTAGCGCTTAAATCTGCTAAAATGGCTTCCTATCGAGGAGGGAAGCGGTGTGTATGGTTGTCCTAACACTAACACGGATGGGGTGTCGATGCATGACGTCGATAAATAAAACTGATTGTTGATTAAATAAAAGTATATTTGTTAGGTTGATATTTTGTTATTAATTCTACAACTAAACATTTTAAATTGATAGGCTAGCCTATGACTTGGGCGGTCATAGGAATATTATTTCTTCGTAATCGTGAACGCCTAATACTCGGAGAAGTCCTAGTCGTGAATGGGTCACGGGAATTTTCACCCCGAGAATTTTCATACTACTATTATATAGTATAGAATAGAATTATTAGAATTTATAGAATAGGTTATGTGTGTATGTTGTTTGTATAAGGTGTATTTGGTTTTTAGATTTTCCAGCAAACGATGTTGTTTAGTTATTAATTTTGCGATCGTAAAAATAACAATTGTGACACCTGTGAGGCGACACGCCTGTCGGCTAACAACAGACGCGTACCAGTGCTAGGGTAAAAACCAGTCAAATAATTGTTTAAACTTCTAAAACATCAAATTTTTATTATTAACACAGCGGAGGGTGTTATAATTGGTTGTTGACACCCTATGTATATATATCCATAGTGCTACGAAAATTCCCTGGAAAGAAAAATTCCCCTCTGACGAAACTTCTTCGGTAAGAAAATTCCCGACACCTCGTGAATGTATGCATAGTCTTGCACAAACGCGATTTCCCGACGTCAGAAATTGTTGATCGAGACTTGAAGATAGTAAAATTAGTCCAAAACCACACCCAATTTTATTTTGTTTCTTTGAAACGACAATTCACTGTTTGACTACTTTCACGACTACTGGTGAGACCCAGTGAAGTACGTGCCAATCTATGTTGCCCAAGCGATCGTCACTTTTCGAAGGGTCATTTTCCTCCTCACTGGATACATCGTCTTGTAATTCCAGTTCAAATCGGTAGGGCTGGATTCCGTCTTCAGACATATCATTCACACCATAATCAGACTCCTCAAAACTCATGCTCAAATCGCTCTCAGTTGCGGTGTCGTTGTCACTGTCAGTCATGTTGAACTTATGACGTCACGAGTGGAAGAGCCTCGATTCCGCGGAAATGACGATTCGGCTGATTAGGTCTGGGCGGACAGGTGAAAATCGACAACTTTGAGCTTTAATAACTCGACACTGGGGCGACGGATTTTGACGGGGTTTTCATTATTATTATTTTTACGGCATTCTTAACATTATATCTAAATATAAAATTACTCTCAGGGTACACTTTAAACAGTGTTCAGATCATATTTCTGTACATAACTTGTTCACAGATAAATTTTACCCTAAACATTGTTCAGATCATATTTCTGTACATAACTTGTTCACAGATAAGTTTTACCCTAAACAGTGTTCAGATCATATTTCTGTACATAACTTGTTCACAGATAAGTTTTACCCTAAAACAGTGTTCAGATCATATTTCTGTACATAACTTGTTCACAGATAAGTTTTACCCTAAACAGTGTTCAGATCATATTTCTGTACATAACTTGTTCACAGATAAGTTTTACCCTAAAACAGCGTTCAGGTCATATTTCTGTACATAGATAGTTTGATAACACAGTAATTATGCAACATAGTTATAGTTTCAGCATATTGTCACTCCTATTGTCACTAACTGTCACTTCCAATCCTAGATTCTGATTGGTGGAAATATTCCAATAATTTAGTAGTAACCCTTACTGGCAGTCGTATGCTATAAACAATACCGCCATCTTTCAAAACAGGGTCATGCATGCATATACCGTCGCTATAAGCCAGGCTAGACGTAAGAAAGTTACGGGTTCAGCCTATTGTCACAGTATTTTGGAAATAGCTGTTGCTACCAACCCTAGACCCTGATTTTTAATGATGACTGTGTTGAGGTATTGTTATGGTAAGGATATGTAAACATAATATAATTACTTGTTTAGCTTCAGGATACTGCAATGGAGCAGGCATCAGAGCTGTTCAAGACCAACGAGGATCATGAGCTTCTAAAATGTCTAAAGGGGGCAGGAATCGCTGGAGAGGCGGAGAGAGTGGAGGAACTTACAGTCAAGTTTGAAGAGCATATGGAGCAACTGGAGGAGGTGAGATGTCAGCAATTGGTATATTTGGACACAGTAACTTACAAAATACTTTGAAAATAAATGGATATTCTGGTGACGTAAACTGGCTACTGAAAACAGTATACCGAGAAAATTTCTCATTTTCAATAATGGAAATAGGATTTACTTACCAATACAGCGAAAAAAAATTCAATTTAAAATAAGAAATAAACAATGGTCTTTGGCTAGAAAAATTTCTGAAATGGACAAAAAAATTTTTTTGTCAGAATACTAAAATTCTTAACTATTTTATGTTGTTGTATTATAGGTATGTAAGCTGTTCCGACACATCGCCACTACAGAGCCTCTTGTTATTGCTGCCGATCATAATGACTCTATTATTAGGACAATTGGACCACTGGTATGTACTCACAAGTCTTTTTTGTAAACACATACTAACCCCTCTTCAAACTGGGACACGTATTGTACTGGTAGACAACATTTGTTGTAAGACGTCGAGCTTCGTAAATCTGAATGACAGTTAGTCATTGTTGACCATTGGCAGTTTTTCTAGTAACAAGATAGTGCTGGGAGTTACAGTCTACCCAGCTGTTTAAATTAGTACCTGCTTAAAAGAAAGTAATGATTTAAATGACTAGAATACAGGTCTAGTAATATTTGCAGACTCTCATTCATTTGTCATCATCAGCTGTTTTGCTTGAAGTCTGATTGCAGAAGTATAATGTCAGGATACTTCATATGAACTGTGGGAATATTGTGTAGATCATAAAATCGAGACATGAATTGTTGGAATATTGTATAGATCATAAAGTAGAGACATGAATTGTTGGAATATTGTATAGATCATGAAGACTAGACCTGAATTGTTGGAATATTGTATAGATCATAAAGACTAGAGACATGAATTGTTGGAATATTGTATAGATCATAAAGTAGAGACATGAATTGTTGGAATATTGTATAGATCATAAAGACTAGACATGAATTGTTGGAATATTGTATAGATCATAAAGACTAGAGACATGAATTGTTGGAATATTGTATAGATAATAAAATAGAGACATGAATTGTTGGAATATTGTATAGATCATAAAGACTAGAGACCTGAATTGTTGGAATATTGTATAGATCATAAAGACTAGACATGAATTGTTGGAATAGTGTATAGATCATAAAGTAGAGACCTGAATTGTTGGAATATTGTGTAGATCATAAAGTAGAGACATGAATTGTTGGAATAGTGTAAAGATCATAAAGTAGAGACATGAATTGTTGGAATATTGTATAGATCATAAAGTAGAGACATGAATTGTTGGAATATTGTATAGATCATAAAGACAAGACATAAATTGTTGGAATATTGTATAGATCATAAAGACGAGACATGAATTGTTGGAATATTGTGTAGATCATAAAGTAGAGACCTGAATTGTTGGAATATTGTGTAGAACATAAAGACTAGACATGAATTGTTGGAATATTGTGTAGAACATAAAGACGAGACATGAATTGTTGGAATATTGTGTAGGTCATAAAGACTAGACATGAATTGTTGGAATATTGTATAGATCATAAAGTAGAGACATGAATTGTTGGAATATTGTATAGATCATAAAGACTAGAGACATGAATTGTTGGAATATTGTATAGATCATAAAGACTAGAGACATGAATTGTTGGAATATTGTATAGATCATAAAGACTAGACATGAATTGTTGGAATATTGTATAGATCATAAAGACTAGAGACATGAATTGTTGGAATATTGTATAGATCATAAAGACTAGAGACATGAATTGTTGGAATATTGTATAGATCATAAAGACTAGACATGAATTGTTGGAATATTGTATAGATCATAAAGACTAGAGACATGAATTGTTGGAATATTGTATAGATCATAAAGACTAGAGACATGAATTGTTGGAATATTGTATAGATCATAAAGACTAGAGACATGAATTGTTGGAATATTGTATAGATCATAAAGACTAGACATGAATTGTTGGAATATTGTATAGATCATAAAGACTAGACATGAATTGTTGGAATATTGTATAGATCATAAAGACTAGAGACATGAATTGTTGGAATATTGTATAGATCATAAAGACTAGAGACATGAATTGTTGGAATATTGTATAGATCATAAAGACTAGACATGAATTGTTGGAATATTGTTAGATCATAAAGACTAGACATGAATTGTTGGAATATTGTATAGATCATAAAGACTAGACATGAATTGTTGGAATATTGTATAGATCATAAAGACTAGAGACATGAATTGTTGGAATATTGTATAGATCATAAAGACTAGACATGAATTGTTGGAATATTGTATAGATCATAAAGACTAGAGACATGAATTGTTGGAATATTGTATAGATCATAAAGACTAGAGACATGAATTGTTGGAATATTGTATAGATCATAAAGACTAGACATGAATTGTTGGAATATTGTATAGATCATAAAGACTAGAGACATGAATTGTTGGAATATTGTATAGATCATAAAGACAAGGCATGAATTGTTGGAATATTGTGTAGATCATAAAGTAGAGACATGAATTGTTGGAATATTGTATAGATCATAAAGTAGAGACATGAATTGTTGGAATATTGTATAGATCATAAAGACTAGACATGAATTGTTGGAATATTGTATAGATCATAAAGACTAGAGACATGAATTGTTGGAATATTGTATAGATCATAAAGACGAGACATGAATTGTTGGAATATTGTATAGATCATAAAGTAGAGACATGAATTGTTGGAATATTGTATAGATCATAAAGTAGAGACATGAATTGTTGGAATATTGTATAGATCATAAAGACAAGGCATGAATTGTTGGAATATTGTATAGATCATAAAGACTAGAGACATGAATTGTTGGAATATTGTGTAGATCATAAAGACTAGACATGAATTGTTGGAATATTGTATAGATCATAAAGACTAGAGACATGAATTGTTGGAATATTGTATAGATAATAAAGACTAGACATGAATTGTTGGAATATTGTATAGATCATAAAGACTAGAGACATGAATTGTTGGAATATTGTATAGATCATAAAGACGAGACATGAATTGTTGGAATATTGTATAGATCATAAAATAGAGACATGAATTGTTGGAATATTGTATAGATCATAAAGACGAGACATGAATTATTGGAATATTGTATAGATCATAAAGTAGAGACATGAATTGTTGGAATGTTATATAGATCATAAAGACTAGACATGAATTGTTGGAATATTGTATAGATCATAAAGTAGAGACATGAATTTGTTGGAATATTGTATAGATCATAAAGACTAGACATAAATTGTTGGAATATTGTATAGATAATAAAGACAAGGCATGAATTGTTGGAATATTGTATAGATCATAAAGACAAGACATGAATTGTTGGAATATTGTATAGATCATAAAGACTAGACATGAATTGTTGGAATATTGTATAGATCATAAAGACTAGAGACATGAATTGTTGGAATATTGTATAGATCATAAAGTAGAGACATGAATTGTTGGAATATTGTATAGATCATAAAGACAAGACATGAATTGTTGGAATATTGTATAGATCATAAAGACGAGACATGAATTATTGGAATATTGTATAGATCATAAAGACTAGAGACATGAATTGTTGGAATATTGTATAGATCATAAAGACGAGACATGAATTGTTGGAATATTGTATAGATCATAAAATAGAGACATGAATTGTTGGAATATTGTATAGATCATAAAGACGAGACATGAATTATTGGAATATTGTATAGATCATAAAGTAGAGACATGAATTGTTGGAATATTGTATAGATCATAAAGACGAGACATGAATTATTGGAATATTGTATAGATCATAAAGACGAGACATGAATTATTGGAATATTGTATAGATCATAAAGACTAGAGACATGAATTGTTGGAATATTGTATAGATAATAAAGACTAGACATGAATTGTTGGAATATTGTATAGATCATAAAGACTAGAGACATGAATTGTTGGAATATTGTATAGATCATAAAGACGAGACATGAATTATTGGAATATTGTATAGATCATAAAGACGAGACATGAATTATTGGAATATTGTATAGATCATAAAGACGAGACATGAATTATTGGAATATTGTATAGATCATAAAGACTAGAGACATGAATTGTTGGAATATTGTATAGATAATAAAGACTAGACATGAATTGTTGGAATATTGTATAGATCATAAAGACTAGAGACATGAATTGTTGGAATATTGTATAGATCATAAAGACGAGACATGAATTGTTGGAATATTGTATAGATCATAAAATAGAGACATGAATTGTTGGAATATTGTATAGATCATAAAGACGAGACATGAATTATTGGAAAATTGTATAGATCATAAAGACGAGACATGAATTATTGGAATATTGTATAGATCATAAAGACTAGAGACATGAATTGTTGGAATATTGTATAGATCAAAAAGTAGAGACATGAATTGTTGGAATATTGTATAGATCATAAAGACTAGACATGAATTGTTGGAATATTGTATAGATCATAAAGACGAGACATGAATTGTTGGAATATTGTATAGATCATAAAATAGAGACATGAATTGTTGGAATATTGTATAGATCATAAAGACGAGACATGAATTATTGGAATATTGTATAGATCATAAAGTAGAGACATGAATTGTTGGAATGTTATATAGATCATAAAGACAAGGCATGAATTGTTGGAATATTGTATAGATCATAAAGTAGAGACATGAATTGTTGGAATATTGTATAGATCATAAAGTAGAGACATGAATTGTTGGAATATTGTATAGATCATAAAGACTAGACATAAATTGTTGGAATATTGTATAGATAATAAAGACAAGGCATGAATTGTTGGAATATTGTATAGATCATAAAGACAAGACATGAATTGTTGGAATATTGTATAGATCATAAAGACTAGACATGAATTGTTGGAATATTGTATAGATCATAAAGACTAGAGACATGAATTGTTGGAATATTGTATAGATCATAAAGTAGAGACATGAATTTGTTGGAATATTGTATAGATCATAAAGACTAGACATAAATTGTTGGAATATTGTATAGATAATAAAGACAAGGCATGAATTGTTGGAATATTGTATAGATCATAAAGACAAGACATGAATTGTTGGAATATTGTATAGATCATAAAGACTAGACATGAATTGTTGGAATATTGTATAGATCATAAAGACTAGAGACATGAATTGTTGGAATATTGTATAGATCATAAAGACTAGACATGAATTGTTGGAATATTGTATAGATCATAAAGTAGAGACATGAATTGTTGGATTATTGTATAGATCATAAAGTAGAGACATG